TTTTCTGAGTCTCGTTTATAAGTTGAGCGGGCTTATCTGATAAGCCACGATCTGGAGAATATGCTGTCTGAATAAGTTGGGCGTTTGGCTGTCCTGATTATTTCTGGTAGATTATCTATCCTGGATGTAAATTGACCTATGTACCCCTGCGGTTGATTATACCTCTTTTGACTCGTCACAATGATCTGAAGACAATGGTGGGAATATTTTTAAAGTTTCAGATAGCAATATGGCTCCATTAAGTTGCAATGTACAATAATAGTCGAAAATAACATCCATTTGGGTAATGTAAATGCTACAAAATACTCAAGTTTCTAACAATGAATCACCCAACCAACGCATTAGCAATAGCATCACGGAAAGCACACATGTTCATATCATCCGCCGAACCACCACCATCAGCTAAAGGAACTTGGGACCCAACACCACTACTGTCTTCCACATAGGTTTCAAAATGTTCATCATATATGGCATTGTCTCTAATGAAATTATGAAGAGCCATGCAAGCAACGATAATCTTTGATTGCTTCTCAATTGGATAGCTAGGTAACTGTAAGAGAGTGCGCCACTTCATCTTGAGAACTCCAAATGACCGCTCAATCACATTTCGGAGGGATGCATGAGCATAGTTGAACACCTCCTTCGATCCCACTGCATGACGACCATGTTGCCATTCAGGCACATGATACCTTTGTCCCTTCTAAGGTGCTAGATATCCTTTTCTATTAGGATACCCAAGAATCAACAAGGTAATACTTGCCTTCAGGTGGATGTGGAAATTTATCCTTGTAGGTGACTAAAGTATCCAAAAATACCGAGTGTCATGAGCAGATCCAGCCCAACCCGTGACAACAAATGTGAACCGCATATCGAAGTCACAAACCGCCATGACATTTTGTGAAGCATAACCATGTCGTCCAATGTATTTTGCATGTTCACTTTTTGGTACAGTTACAGGTATGTGTGTACCATCAATGGCGCCTATGCAATCGTTGAAATGAGGCCAGAACCTAGCTTGCTGCAGTTTTGGATGAACTGTACCAAAGTGTGGATCCTTAGGTCTTATGATGTCAATAGACAGTCTACAAATTGAGTCAAGTACCTCACTAAACTTTCTACTGATAGTTTCTAAAGAATGACCAAACCTATTTGCAACTTGTCTAAACGATTGAGGTGCACCACATGTCCACAAAAACAAGCCTAAGGCTTCCTTGGTACAAATATCATTCGTTGATCTCAAGCCATAATTCTGAACCAAAGTCCGATAAAGGCGATGGAACACTGACCTTGTCATTCTAAACATGTTGTAGCACTGCACTCTATCATTTAGTTGGATTTCAACCCATTGTATCCCTATCATGACTGGTACATCCGGAACCACCTCCTTGTTCTTTGCAACACTGTTTGTTGACCCCCATCAATTCCATTGCAATATATGCAACCATGAAATCCTCATCAGTACCCGATTCATCCTGACTTGCATCCTCATCACTGGAGATGCTCATATTGATTTCAGCACCTAAAATAGGTACACATTATGAAGCATGAGCAAAGGAACAGAGGAAGCATATACACAGAAATAATTATTCGCACAAGCAAAGTCATGACATAAATCATCAAATAATGTACCCATTACAACACTAAATTTTCATCAAATAATGTCTGAAACTGAACAATTTATTTTACTACTACATAACAACACTAAATTTTCCGATCCTCCCATGCCCGCCTCAGCCAATTAAGCCTCCCATTCGGTGTCTTCAAAGTAACGAACACATCACGGTTTTTCTTTTTCTTAAGCAATTGGGTGGCATAGTAGTGTTCATCACTCCCTTCTTCAGCACCATTGTTAATGACTTGCTCCAACATAGTCCCAATCTCATCTCTAACATGATCAACCGCGTGAGAAGTTGCTGAATTTTTACTACTTTGGGCCTTCTTCTCATATGTGTCGACCAACCTCTTCATAAGTTGATCTCTATATGTCTTCTTTTTCTTTCCAGATGGGGAACCTTGAGCTGGCCTTTTGTTAGCATTTGGTGTGACATGTGGTGAACCTCTCCTTCGACTCTCTCACACATCACCATCACCATGACCGGCCTCATGCTCCTCACCCTCTCCATCGTCGGGACCACTTCCAGAACATAGGATGTCTCATTAGTCACACTAATAGCATCAAACATTATCCGCATCATTTCCTCGTGCTCAAGAACTGCAGTTTTGAAACTTATACATCCTGGCATAGCCTGAAACATTAAATGATAACAATTAGAGGATGACATACCGTTGAGTACTAAAATACAAAAGATGACATCTTAACTACTCACCACATTTTGTTCTGTCCACCATTCATCACTGGCAGAGATACATCCGGTCACAGGATCCCTTCCCAACCCAGTGGCTCTCATGTTCAAGGTCTTCCATCGTGCATATTTTTTCTTCAAGACATCCCATCTGTTCTTCATTTGCTCTTTGTCATATGGCCTCTTTGTTCGCTCAAAGAACTTCTTCACCAAATTAGCATAACCCACACTATTCAAGCAATTGTGTGGCTGTTATGGGCAAGCACTTCTTCTACGCATATTTCATTGAAAACTTTGGCGACAAAAGTATCCCATTTTGCTTATGGGTTTGATGCTTTTTCCATCTATAAAACACAACCGCCTAATTAAACATCTTGTACTTTGGAACCAAATCTGAGCATGAAACAGAGCCTTTCGCAATCCTCTGTAACCAAACTGCATTTTCCAAACAGAGCAAACAACAAACAAATGAGCACTAGCGGTATGGATGATATAAATTACAAGGTCGTTGTTCTCCGGATCGAAGTGATCCTAAGCACTCGGCACTAGCAAAGATGCATTTTCGGACAAGTGATAGCAAGGACTAATATAAATTGCGGTGCTTATTATTATCTTGGACGATTGCAATTTGTCGAGCCCGTTGCAAATCGATCGAGTGATCCTAAGCACTTTCGGCGACCCATCGCACTGCACGAAGCAGCTAGCTTAGCTGCCTGGATGCACAGCACACAGTGTGCGAGTCTGCAAGGATTTGTTAAGCACAAAGCACTACTACGGCTGGAAATAAAAATGATCGGTTGTCGGTGGTTCATCACTCACTATCTCGAATAATACAAACTAGCGGCAGAGAAGTAGCAAATGTCAGTGCAACCTTTCATTCCTCTGTTGAATCGAATCACCACCGTGCAGCGCCCATTGTTTAATCCAAGCAACACGTAACCAAATTACACAACAAGCATTGAGCCATAGTTTCGCACAAATTATGCATTTTCAAAGAAGCATTGGCACTAGCAAGATGCATTTTCGCACAAGTGAAAGCAAGGACACCGGTGTTGCGTGCTCACCTTCTTTGGACAATGACCCGATGGTGGGGATGGAGCGGCAGCGGTGGTGGAGGTCGTCGAGGACGCCGAGGTCGGAGATCCGGAGCGGCAGCCCGATGGTGGGATGGAGCCCTTGCTGGATCCGGAGCAGGCTAAGCGCTGCCGGCGGATCCGCAACAAGCCTGCAGATCCAAAGCAGCCGGAGCTCCAGCGGAAGGGGAGGGAAGGCGCGCTGGGAGGAGCACCGACGCCTAGGGCTGGTCGATCCGAGCAGCCTGCAGATCCGGCACGCCTGAGCACCGCGGAAGGGGAGGAAGGCCGCGCCTAGGGAGGAGCACCGACGCCTGACCGGTCCTCTGCGGAGGGGAGGGAGGATGACGGCGCCTGGCTGGAGATCCGGCGTGGCGGAGGGAGGAATGATGACGCCTGGTTGGAGCACCGGTGGAGGTGGATGGGAGGCCCTTCCTTCAGATCCGGCCGAGGGAGGGAATGGGAGGCGAGCAAGGGTTGGGGAATGGGAGGCGGCGCGGATCTGGAGAGAGAGGAGGAGGGGCCAGGCGGCGGGCGTTGGGGATGGCAAAGGCGCGTCGGGGAGGGAGCGAACGGGAGCACGGTGTCGGGGAGGGAGGAGGAGGGGCATGGAGAGGAAAAGCCGACGCGATTTCGAAACGCTGGGGTGAGGCTCGCTTTTTGGATCTGTTGCGGCGACGGAGATCGTGGAAGCGCGTTCATGATCGACACCCGAACGCGGGCCGTTTGTGGGATTACTTGCTTATTCCGCTCAGAAGCTGAGCATACGCTGCCCCAAACAGGGCCTTTCTTAAGCTTGATTGTACTAGTTAGGCACCATAAATATTAATATTGTTCTTATATAATATATATTTGATCAAAGTTGAAGAGAGAATCTCATAAATACTTATTTAAAGTATTTGATCAAAGTTGAAAAGAGAACCCCATAAATGCTGATTACTTACTTTAAATTCTCGACGAGTGAAAATGACGCTCTTTATAGCAACGGAGGAAGTATTACCATTCTCCGTCGACAGCGAGGCGACTGTGATGACTTCGTAAATTTCGAGATTTGCCGGAATGAGTGCGCATACGTGTTGTGGACGTGTACATTGTACCGTGTAATTTTTAAAAAAAATGACTACCCTTCGCCGTCTCCATTCATCATTCGGAAGAAGAGAGAAGGCCACGTCGTTGGCAAAAGGAGCAGCAGCGCGCACCGGAATCTTTTGAGGAATCATCTTTTGTCTCGTCTCGTTCAGACGTTCACCCTTGCTCAAAAGCGCACGAGAGGGAGCGAGAGCGACAAGAAAAAGAAGATCATCTGGTCACGGATTCCTGCACGCGTCCTGGTTCGTGCTACCAACACCTCCACGAGGCCGCAAACACGGCCCGGTTCCCGAAGGCTCTAGAACCGGGCCCACGGAAGGGACCGTCAGCTGGCCCCGCACGTCAGCGACCCGCGGGCGCCCGTCCCGTCCCTGTCAACCGATCCCTCTGCTCTCCTCTGCTATAACTGGCTGTCGGTCTCTCCTCACCGGCCCACCGCAAAGCAGAACACCTCCTCGCCTCGTCACTCGTCAGACCGACCGGGAGGAAGGAAGCAAGCGGAAGCGAACCGGATCGCCGTCCGTCGCCAATCGCCATGGCCGCTGTGGCGCCGGTGGAGGTGTGTGTGAAGGCCGCCGCGGGGAAGCCCGACACGCTCGGCGACTGTGAGTGCTCCCCCCGTCGTCCCCCGTCCCCCGCGCTCGATTTCGCCCGGAACCCTAGCTGTCTCGCTGATCCTGGTGTGGTCTGGTTTGGTTTGGATGGGACTGAAACCTCCTGCTTGCAGGCCCGTTCTCGCAGAGGGTGCTGCTGACGCTGGAGGAGAAGAAGGTCCCCTACGAGGTGAAGCTCGTCGACATCGGCAACAAGCCCGAATGGTCTGTCTCGCTCCCTCTCTCCCCTTTCCGCCGCTTGTTATTATTATTATTATTTTCCACAGGAGCATTCTGCTGGTCTGCACGCGGTGTCTCACAACCGATTGGCAAAGCGCCGCTCACGTCGTGTCTTTTTTTTTTAATAATAATAACATCTTCTCTGCTGTCTTGACTTCATTTCCAGAGACCAGAGGTTCGGTCACCTCACTGTGGTAGGCTGGGAACAGTATTCGAGACAGGGAATCTTTGCGTTATCTCCTTGTTTGCTTTGTAGAATTGTAGTATTAATGTCTAGTGTCTAGAACTCTAGATCTTTAGCGCATTCGGTGGATGTGGTAGATTTCCTTTTTTTTTTGTGAATGATGTGGTAGATTTCCTTGATCTGACTGACTTGCAGCCTGTAACTGGCACTGGAAAAATCCACACAGCTTACTGTACTATTCGGCCCCCATGTGTCCTGCTGAACTGATCTCTCTGGTGATTGTTTTTTTTTTCTAGTTTCAAGGAATGAGCTGTAGATTAATACTGCCTCCTATTTTTAATATGTGACGCTGGTTAGTAGCTTTACCTGGGAATTCTTATGCATCCCATCACACACACACACCTCTATTTCTGAGAACTTAAAGCTGTCTGGTCCATCTGCATATGTCTTCCCTGATGAATTAGAGTTCTATGGTGTACTTGGATTACAGCCAGTTTATGCGCACTAGAGAAGGTTTGAGATTTTTTCAATGTAATTTGAAGATTGAAGAGGATTTTGCGGCTTCTATTTTTTTTTCAGTGAGCCAAGGGTGTAAGTGTAGTTAAGTCCATTTAGACTCTGTTTTTTTTTTTTTTGTCTATTTGTAATCTTTTCATCCAACCTACTGTAATGGCTCTTTCAGGTTTCTGGAGATTAACCCAGAGGGTAAGGTGCCTGTGCTCAAAGGTGGTGATGGTAAATGCATTGCTGATTCTGATGTAATCACCCAAGTCATTGAGGAGAAGTTCCCAACTCCATCTCTGGTCACCCCTCCAGAATATGCATCAGTGTAAGATGTGTTGCTCACATCCACCTTGCTATGTTTTAACATGGGTGATTCTCTATTTCTGTTAATTCCTATGGCGTTAAACAGTTTGACTTGAAAGCCCCATGTTCTGAATGGAGCCTATGTTCTGCAATTATTATTTAAAAGGGTGAGATCTTAGTTGTATCTGCATTCATTTCAGAGGTGTATTATGTTCAAATAGCTGGCAGTTCATAATTCATTCACCTGAAGAATCACAATCTAGTAGGGTTTTACTTGTAATTTTCACAGGCAATACCTATACTAAAGAAAAAGGAAGTAATATATTTCTCAGGCATACTGGTCATGAGTTTCAGTATGAGAAGCAGCTGCAATAGGATCTGTCAAGCGTCTGATTTATAGCTTGTGAAATACTTGTAACTTGCAAGATTGCTATCTCCATTATTAAGTTTATTCTGAAGCATTATTTTGGGTTATTGTGTTGCTGTGCATTTCAATTTTGAGCTTCAGCAATTGTCTTAGTGCTTATGCCACATGATCTGATATGGTTGTAATGACAGGGGATCAAAGATTTTCCCGGCCTTTGTCAAGTTCTTGAAGAGCAAGGATGCTAGTGATGGTTCAGAGAAGGCGCTTCTGGATGAGCTGCAGGCACTGGATGAGCATCTCAAAGCTCATGTAAGTTAAATGCTTGACCTCTTACTGTTTGATATGGCTGCTGCTTTCAGCAGGGAAATAGACACAACACATTCTTCTGTGCACTTAACCTGTTTGGATATGACACAGATCATTTTTTGTTTGATTTGATGACTTGGTGCTCTGGCATTGCTTAGTCTCACCATCATATCTGATTGAACCATGCCTTTCCTAACGTCATTATCAATACTCTGGTGTTTGCAGGGCCCTTACATCAGTGGGGAGAACGTGTCAGCGGCTGATCTTAGCCTTGCGCCAAAGCTCTTCCACCTCCAGGTCGCACTGGAGCATTTCAAAGGCTGGAAGATCCCAGAAAACCTAACCAACGTCCACGCCTACACCAAGGTACACAAGGTCAAGTGATTGCATTTCACTATCAGCTCCATAACCTGTACTAGAATCAAATAACCGAGCTCACTTTTGTCTTTGTGCAGGCTCTTTTCAGCCGTGAATCTTTTGTCAAGACTAAGCCATCCGAGGAGCACGTGATTGCAGGATGGGCGCCCAAGGTGAACGCATAAGCGCCTTCTGCTTTGGTGCTACCTGGTGGACTCCATCCATTTATCTGATCAGTCGTTGTCAGTGGTGTGGATAGGTGTCGCGTCTGTAGCCTAGATGCATGATTGAGTTGGAATAATGCAGTGCCGTGTCTCGAGTACTCAGTTCTGGCTGTTGCAATTGTGCCTTACCTTCTGTTGCCAGTTTCGTTCGAGACCATGGGCATCTCTTGATCCTATGCTACTGTAATGTGGGTACCAAATAATGGGCTGCTTTTATGCTTGTGGTGTGCATTCTGTTGTGCCTTGCTTTCATGATTTTCTGTTCTCCAGTGGTGAATTGGTGATAGCCTGAGCATCAGGTTATCTTATATATATGGGCATATTTCTGACCTGGATTTTTTTTCAAGCACATGTTAATGAAACTGTTTGGTGCAGTATTCAACAATATCTGACGAGTGATTGTCAAAGTGCTACTCTGTTCATGTCCTTTTTTTCTACATTCCAACTGTTTTGGGGCAGAAATTTCTCTGCTATCTTGACTTCGTTTTCAGAGGTTCGGTATGGTAGACCCTTTCTCAAGAGGGTGCTTCATGCTGGAGGGAAAGGAGGGGGCTCCCTACCAGATGGAGCTCATTACCTCAGCAACAAGCCTGAATGGTTTGTCTCTTTTCCCTCTTTCGTTTATTCTTTTCCAGAACAGCATTCTGCAGTGTGACTAATTGGCAAAGTGCTACTCAGATCGTGTCTTATTTTCTTTTCTCTCCAATTGTTTTGGGGGCAGATATTTCTCTGCTGTCTTGACTTCATTTTTTCAGAGGTTCAGTGTGGTAGACTGGTATTGGAGTGGCAACAGCGTATGAGACAGAGAACCTTTCTGCTATCTGCTTGTTTGATTTGGAGATATAAATGATATTTAGTATTTTAGTGGATTCGTTGGATGTGGTAGATTTCCTTGATCTGACCAACTTGTAGCCTGGGACTGGCATTGAAATCCACACTGCTTAGTCTTGCATTATATACAATTCAGACCCATGTATCCTACCGAATTCATCATCGTCTCATCGGGTCAAAGGTGTTCTTCTCTAGTTTTCAGGGACAAGCTGTAGCCTACTAGAGCACTCTTGCATTACTTTTGTGCATTTTTTTTTCTTTTGGGACTTAAGGCTGTCAAAGAATATAAACAGAAGAATATAGATATAGATACATATTAAGTAGTAGATAGAATATATAGAGGTATAGAAGAATATATTATTATATTATATATTAGTAAGTAGTAGATAGTAGATATAGAGATATATAAGAAGAATAGATATAGATACAAATATAGATATAGAAGAGATAGTGACTGGCCAGCAACCTATCAGGTTCACTTTGTATATAAAGCTGGGCCCATGCACACAGCTTGTGCCGCAACACATCATCCAAGAAGCACTGACGGGAGAAGCTTGGGCTAGATACACCAATGGCTGCAGGGCACAAGAACACCACCACAGTGGCGCTCCTAGTTCTGCTGCTGTCATTGATGCTCTCTTTGACAGTGTCAGTGGCGCGACTGTCCATTGCTACGGCCGTGGAGGTGTGCGTGAAGGCTGCTGTCGGGGCTCCTGACAAGCTTGGCGACTGTGAGTGCTCCCGTCCCTTGCTTCCTCTCATCTTTTAAAACCACATCTCGCTCTCATTTCGACATTTCCCAGTCCGATCCGACCCAAATTAAAACCCTAGCTGTTTCGCTGACCTTGGTTTGGTTTGGATGGTTCAATGGAATTGCCAGGTCCCTTCTCGCAGAGGGTTCTGCTCACTCTGGAGGAGAAGAAAGTCCCTTACCAGTTGAAGCTCATTGACCTCAGCAACAAGCCTGGATGGTCCGTCTCGTTTACCTTTCCTGTTTATTTTCCAGAGCAGTATCCTGCAGGGTCTGACAACTAGTTGACAAAGTGCTACTGAGGTCGTGTCTTATTTTCGACACTCAAGTTGTTCTGGGGCAGAGATTTCTCTGCTGTAGTTTTCATAGTTTCATTGATAGACTGGTACTGGACCAGGAAGGCGGGAACAGTAGAAGACAGAATCTTTGTGCTTTCTGCTTGTTTTGCTTTGGAGATTTTAGATGATATTTAGTGGATTCGTTGGATGTGGTAGATTTCATTGGTTTAACTGAATTGTATCCTGGAACTGGCATTGAAAACACTGCTTAATCTTGGATTCTATACTAATCAACTCTTTGTACTGAATTGATCTCATTGTCTCATCATTGAATTCTTCTCTAGTTTTCAGGAACAAGCTGTAGCCTACTAGACTTATGTTGGAATACTTGTGCATATTTCTTTTGGGACTTAAAAGGCTGTCAAAGAACATAAACCCCATACCGTTGTTCAACAGTGAACATTCAGTATCTTGTCTGGTAGAGTTGCATATGTCTTCTTGAATGGATTGAGTTCTGATCTACTTGGATCACAGCCAGTTTAGGGGCATTGGAGAAGGCATGATGTTTTTCTCTGTGAAAGCCATTAATTATCAAATGTTGAAATTACCAAAACGACCTTCTCAATTTGTGTGCTGGCACTTTCAGAATTATGCACCCTCCCATCTGAATTTGTGATGACTTTTCTAAATTTGAAGATGGAATAAGATTTTGCAGCTTTGAAAATTTCAGTGAGCCAAGGGTGTAATTTAGCCCATTTGGACTCTAGGGTTTGTCTCTTTGTGATCTTCACATCTAACCTACTGCAAAGACTTTTTCAGGTTTCTGAAGATCAGCCCAGAGGGTAAGGTACCTGTGTATAACGGTGGTGATGGCAAATGGATTGCTAATTCTGATGTGATCACCCAAGTCATTGAGAAGAAGTACCCAACTCCATCTCTGATCACCCCTCCAGAATATGCATCAGTGTAAGATGTCTCACTCATATCCATTTTACTACGGAAGGAGCTAGGTCAAGTATGAATTCCTAGGGAATTTAAAATATTTTAATGTGAAATCTCCATGTTCCAAATGGGTCCTAAGTTGAACTGTTGTTTGTTTCAGAAAATCCTTGCTATATATTTAGACCTGTAAAGTTTTTTTTTAGGTCTCAGTAAAACCAACATTGCTCGCTAAAGGTGCCTCGTGTACTTGTAATTTTCATTGGTAATACCTCCTAAAAGAAAAAAGGAGGTAATGCATTTCTCAGGTATATACAGACCATAAGTTTCAGTGGGAAGCAGCTGTACGATCTGTCACGCGGTTGATCTTTAGCATGCGAAATACTTGTAAATTGCAAGATTGCCTAGGTTACTTCTGAAGGGTTACTCTGGGTTCTTGTTTTGCTGTACATTTTCAGTTTTGAGCTTCAGTAACTGTCTTACTGCTTAGGCCTGATGATTCGATACGGTTGTGCTGATAGGGGATCAAAGATTTTCCCATCCTTTGTCAAATTCTTGATGAGCAAGGATGCTAATGATGGTTCAGAGAAGGCACTTCTGTATGAGCTGCAGGCACTGGAGAAGCATCTCAAAGCTCATGTAATAAGTTATAAATAATTTTTTGATATGGCTGCTGCTTTCAGCAAGGGAATAGACACTTCACACACACTTCTCACTTAACCTGTTTGGATATGACACACTGCAAAAAATTTCGTTCGACAAGGCGCCATGCTGAGCGGGCCCTGCTTAGTCTTACAATCGCATCTGACTGACTGAACTGGACCTTCCCCTCCCTGACGTCACTATCAATGTTGTGGTGTTTGCAGGGCTACCCCTATATCAGCGGGAAGAATGTATCAGCTGTTGATCTTAGCCTGGCGCCGAAGCTCTTCCACCTGGTGGTGGCGCTGGAGCATTTCAAGCGCTGGAAGGTCCCAGAAAGCCTGTCCAGCGTCCACGCCTACACCAAGGTACACAAAGTGCTCAAGTGACTGCGTATTGCTGTCAGCTCCATAATCTGCTCAGGATCGAATAATCTAGATCGCGTTTGTCTTTGCCGCAGGCTCTGTTCAGCCGTGAATCTTTCATCAAGACTAAGCCAACCAAGGAGCACCTGATTGCAGGATGGGCGGCCGAGGGTGCCCGTGTAAGCCCCCATACCCATCGTGCCTTGTTGGTACCTGGTGGACATCCCCGGTTCATCTGATCAGTCGTTGTCAGTGGTGTGGGTAAGGCGTCTCGTCTGTAGCTTGGACGCATGATTGGGTTGGAATAAAATGGAGAGTGCCATGTTCTGATTACTCCCCCAGTTGTGGCTGTTGCAAGTGTGCGCTTTTTTTTTTTAATCTGGGCTCCTTCATTACTCGTTTGCTACCAAATCGTTAGCAACGATCACAAGTACAGCATCAGGGATAGAGTTGGTAATCACCTCCTCACCCTCATTACACAAATGACCCAGCGCAGCCAGCTCATGAGCGGCTCTATCACAATCTCTACCAACATGAACGCACTCAAAAGAAATAAAATTTGAGAACACCAGCGACTTGATTTCATCAACCAAATGACCCACTACTGACATATCATAGACATCCGAATTTATAGCCTTCACCACTTCTTGTGCATCAGACTCTACCTGGAGCCGACCAATACCAAGGTTCACTGCCATTTGAATACCTTGAAGGCAAGCAATTAGCTCGGCATAAAATGGACTAAATACATGGTCCATTCGTCCTCTTCCTGACAGCACCGAATCACCATCGCTGTCTGATCAGTGCACCCCAGCTGCCTGACCCTGAATCAGAATGGAAGGAGGCATCACAATTCAGCTTTAGAATGTCCACAGGGGGGTTTGTCCAGTGACTTCGCCGACAATTTTGCCTGACCACCGGTGTTTTTGGACTGCTCAAGATTTTCATGGGCATACAACTCAACGCATCTAGCGAGGTCCTGGGCACTTCGCCTCCTCCCCTCTTCTCTGATAATATTTTCGTTCCGTCCAAATGATCCATAATGCAATGACCATCAGCAATTTCTTGTGCTCCCTAGCTTTTAGAATAAACTCTACAGCTCCTAGCGCCGTTTGAATAGAGGCCAATTCCACTCTTTTAGCCTCCATGCCCAGCAAACGGCAGAGAAGTTTTGCCACTCGGCATTTGAAGAACAGATGGCCTCCATCTTCCCCCAGATGATTGCAAACTGGGCATCTAGTGCAGATTTTCATGCCCCCGACGAGCTAAGCTACATCTCAAAGGGTGGCTATTGTGTGCAAATCGCCAGAGAAAATGCTTGATTTTATTTGGGCATCTCAGCTTCCAGATATTTTTTTATGGACTGCCAGGATTGCAATTGCTTCCTCCTTGCTGTCCAAAGGTGCTTTTGTTCCTCAAGAAATCAGCTCGGGCCACTTTGTAAGCACTTTTAACACTGAAAACACCATGTTTGTCATAAAAAAAAACTCGACCTGCGAGGGGCAAGCCGCCCCCCGGGCATTATACATAAGAAGAAGGCCTTCTCACATAGGCCGAGAAAACCCCCGAACCCCGGCCCGGCCCGACACTGGGAGACGTAACCCGTGAGATAGGCCGTCTCCTTAAACCAGTGCTTTGGCACCCGGGACCGGCGAGGGGATTTTTTTAACCCCCAGCCTGAAATTCGCTCCCACTGGGAGTCGAACTCAGGACCTAGAGGGTGCCGCCAGAGTGACTAGCATATCTCAGTTAACCAACTGGACTAGCCATCCTTTGGCCATGTTTGTCATAATGCCATGCAAGATTATTGTCCCGACCCTGATGGATAGGTAGCGCAAGGATCAACTCAGCATCTTCTTCCCAGAAAGCGTCTCGGACCAACTGCACATCCCATTGTCCAGTATAAGGATCTATCAATTCGGCCACCTCCAAGAGTAGAATATGGCCTCGTGGTGTTCGCGGTCTCCTGGAAAATTCCCTTGGAATCCAAGGATCCGACCATATATTTAGCCCAGCCCATCACCAACTCTCCAAATCATGCCTTTCTTCACCACATCTAGTCCACCAAGAATGCTTTGCCACGTATAAGACATCCCCGTCTTTGGCTTGGCTTCCAGAACGGATGTATGGGGGAAGTATTTGGCCTTCAGAACCCGCGAGCACAGGGAGTCTGGTTGCTGCCATAGTCGCCAAACTTGCTTAGCGAGCATTGTCAAATTGAATAGGTGGATATCTCTAAACCCCAGCCCTCCTTCTTCTTTCGGTTTGAGCATCTGTTCCTTACTCAGCCAATGGATCTTATGTTTTCCTTCTTGGTGATTCCACCAAAACCGGCAAATCATAGCACCAATTTGATCGCACAAGGATTTAGAGAGATCTAAGCAGCCCATCGCAAATGTAGGGATAGCTTGAGCAACGGCCTTGATCAAAATCTCTTTGCCCGCCCATGAAAGGAATTTTTCATTCCATCCTTGCATTCGTTTCCAAATACGATCTTTCAGATAAGCAAAGGTTTTCATCTTGGACTGACCCAAATATCTCTCATTCATGGTCTCTTTTGTAACTTGTAGTAAGTCACACACCTTCTTCCTCTGGTCCGGTTTTGTGTTCCTACTAAACAGAATTGCTGACTTTGCTTTGTTTATCACTTGGCCTGAACAATCTTCATAGAGTTGGAGTATGTTTTGCAGGTGGCCGCAATCCCCCTCATTCGCTCGAATCAAAATTAATGAGTCATCGGCGAACAACAAGTGTGATATGCTTGGTGCAGCATGGCAGACCTTCACTCCAGCGATCAATCCATCCGCTTCCCCTTTTTTCAGCAGGGCTGAAAATGCTTCGGCACAAAGTAGGAATAAATAGGGAGATGAGGGATCCCCCTGCCGCAGCCCTCTTTCAGGAGCAAAACTGTTTGTAAGCTCACCATTCACCTTTACCTGATACTTCACCGTAGTTACACACTCCATGATCAAAGAGATCCACCGCTCATTAAACCCCAAATGTTGCATCATTTTCTCCAAAGCGCACCATTCAACCCTGTCATAGGCTTTGCTCCTATCTAATTTGATGGCAGCATAACCCAAATTACTTTCTCTCTTATTCAACAAATAATGGGTTAACTCATAAGCTATAAGAATATTGCCGGTTTGGTTGGGGACCATGGGCATCTCTTGGTCTTTTATGCTATGGCGGGCCATTTGGATGGATCCTTCAATTATCTGCCTGGACCTAGCAGCACTCCTATGCGTCTGGGGTTAGGCATCCATGATCCATCACAGCCTCAGCCTCCAGGCATCCAAAATTGGACGTTTAGGAGAGCTGCTAGCGCCAGGCAACCATGCTCAATTTTGAACACGTGAGGTGATGCCAGGATTGATTTGAGTGGCAGGAATGTCTCGGAAGCCTCTTTCCATACAAACATGCCCTGAGAGGCGAACGTGCATCTACTGTAACTGTAACCTTGGTACCCAATGATGGCGTTAGTGGTGTGTATTCTGCTGTGCCTTGGATTCATTTCATGGTTACCTTGTTCTCCTATATACTATGGTGGATTTGTGATCGCCTGGAAGCAGCAGGTTGTGTGGGCATATTTCTGATTTTAAGTGCGTGTTAATGAAAATGGCTTGGTGCAAAGTAAGCGCGCATTATATGTTGGTGGTTATTATTATTATGCGCACGATGCATTCCCTCGTGGTTCTGCGATGGCGACGTCTGTAGATATTCTTCGGCCCTCCTTTATTATATAATTATCTTCGAAAAACGAATAAAAGAGAGGTAATCGTGGAGCTTGAGAACATATATTCCAAACTGTCTAATCGGATGGGTTCGTCATCAGAACAAGAAATTCTTATCATTCTTATTACACGACGGATAATGAATATTATATTATTTTGTTATCAGTGAGCTCAGATTCGAAATCGACCAAAAAAGACTCGGTTGGGAACGCCGTCGTGTGACGCAAGCCAAACCTTGTACCACGCAACGGGTTCTCGAAGGAACCCGTGCCGTTTCTGTGCTGTGCACCCGTTGGACAAAACGACACGATGGAACACGGCGCGCGCACACACACGCCAAGTTCGTGCGTGCGCTGCCAAATGAGCTTCTCTCCCCTCAGCTGAGGACTCGCAGGCACAACTCGCGCCGACTCCGCAGCGAGGGGACGGGGAAAGCTGTTGTGAAGCAGCCCGCCCGTGCGTGGTGGATAAGCACCCGTTCCGTTTTTACATTACATACAGGATGATGGGGGAGAGGATAAACTCGCGTGCTATAATCTGCCCGTTAATCTCGGATTAGCCGTGCGCGGTTATCCGATCCCGCTATAAATAGGCGCCCCGTCGCCTCCTCATCTCATCTCATCTCACAGACACCAAAGCCCCCTCCGATCGCGATCACCACCACTTCCGATCCATCCTCGACCCAGCCTTCCACTTCCAGCGATGGCGGCGGTGGATCTGACCCCCAAGCAGCCCAGGAAGGCGTACGGCGGCGACGGCGGCGCCTACTACGAGTGGAGCCCCGCCGACCTGCCCATGCTCGGCGTCGCCTCCATCGGCGCCGCCAAGCTCTCGCTCGCCGCCGCCGGCCTCGCGCTCCCCAGCTACTCCGACTCCGCCAAGGTCGCCTACGTCCTGCAAGGTCTGATCGATCGCCGCCTCCTCTGCTCTTACCTCTTACAGCATCTTACAGCAGGGCAGGTTGTTCAGTATGTTGCTGACGCTGACGTGTGCCTTGTGTTGCGATTGGATTTGGATTTGTTTGGACAAGTTAGATTAGATTGGGAGGAGGTGGTGGTGGGGGATGTGTCACTAGTAGTCGAAAAGTAATTTGTTACCGCATTACTCGTTCATAATTTTGCAATCACGTGTTGGTAATTTTGACATTGCACGGATCCCTCTGTTTTAGTTTGGAATCGTGGTGTGGGCTTGGAGGTGGGGGTCAGGGGCTGGACATCATCTAGTTTGCGAACTAAACTGTGCATGTCGACGTGGTTGGATGTTCTAGTTTGGTTTGCATGGTTGTGGGTTTCAGATTGGTAACGTACTATGGAGAAGAGAATTGAGTCATTCCTGTTCGCAGTTTCATTGCGATGGCATCAGTTTGTTATAATCTAATCTAATGGGTTATATTCGTGCATCAGATCTCGAATTAATTTGCTTAGGAAATTTCGAATTGAATGGTCTTCTGCTGTTGTGGCAAGTCGTTACTAGTTTGATTGATCGTGAAGTCTTGGTTTATAAGAAGTAGGGGTCGTGATCGCGCTGCAGTTGACTTTTTCCAATGCCATCTCACTAATTTGTTGTGTTGGTTTGTGTATACTAGCTTAGTTAGATGTTCTCTGTTCTGTAAACCCTTCGTTGCAGTGAATGAATTCCTGGTTGAGTCATTCATGTTCACAGTTTTATCAGCATGCGAATGCGATGGCATCACTTTGTATCTGCTTTGTTATAATCTAATCTAGTAATAGATTTATATTCGTCAATCAGATCTCGAATTAATTTGTTTACAAAAAATCGAATTGCATGGTCTACTGTTGTGAATTAATTTGTTTAGAAACATTCGAATAGCATTGTCTACTGTTGTGGCACGTCGTTACTAGTTTGATTGATGATCGTGAAGTCTTAGTTTAAGTTGTCGTAAATCGGGCTGTAGTTGAATTTTCCAATGGCATTTCTGCCATTGAATTTTCCAATGGCATCTCAAGTAGCTGTTCTCTGTTTTGTAAACCCTTCGTTGCAGTGAATGAATTCCTCATGTTCCCTGGTTCTGATTGACACATAGTATATCTGATCTGATGCTTGAACCGAACCGCAGGCACTGGCACCTGCGGCATCGTCCTGCCGGAGGCGACCAAGGAGAAGGTGGTGGCCGTGAAGGAAGGCGACGCCCTCGCTCTCCCCTTCGGCGTCCTGACATGGTGGCACAACGCCCCCACCGCGTCGTCCGACCTGACCGTCCTGTTCCTCGGCGACACCTCCAAGGGCCGCAAGCCGGGCCAGTTCACAAACTTCCAGCTCACAGGCTCCACTGGCATCTTCACGGGCCTCACCACCGAGTTCGTGTCCCGCGCGTGGGACCTGCCGGAGGCCGACGCCGCGAAGCTGGTGTCGAGCCAGCCGGCCTCCGGCGTCGTGAAGACCTCCATCGCGCTGCCGGCGGGCTCGGCCAAGGACCGCGAGGGCATGGCGCTCAACTGCCTGGAGGCGCCGCTGGACGTGGACATCCCCGGCGGGGGCCGCGTGGTGGTGCTCAACACGGCCAACCTGCCGCTGGTGAAGGACGTCGGGCTGGGCGCCGACCTGGTCCGCATCGACGCGCACTCCATGTGCTCCCCGGGCTTCTCGTGCGATTCGGCGTACCAGGTCACCTACATCGTGCGCGGCAGCGGGCGGGTCCAGGTGGTCGGGCCCGACGGGAAGCGCGTCCTGGAGACCCGCGCTGAGGGTGGGGTGCTCTTCATCGTGCCTCGGTTCCACGTCGTGTCCAAGATCGCTGATGCGTCCGGGATGGAGTGGTTCTCCATCATCAGCACCCCCAAGTAAGTGCATTATTGCATCGTGTCGCGTCGCATCTTCGATCATTGAGCTGTTGATTGCGTTCGAATTGTACTGGACTGGAAATTGACTGAATGGTTTGTTTGCAAACGACATTGCAGCCCGATCTTCAGCCACCTGGCGGGGAAGACGTCGGTGTGGAAGGCCATCTCGGCGGAGGTGCTGCAGGCGTCGTTCAACACCACGCCGGAGATGGAGCAGCTGTTCCGCTCCAAGAGGCTCGACTCGGAGATCTTCTTCGCGCCTCCCAGCTCCAACTGAAGCAGACGGAAGCCGGAAGCCGGAAGCCGGACGCCCACGCCCTAGTGTCATCGTCGTCAGGTCATGGTTAATAAAGAGAGTGTCGTCGTCGTCGGCTTGCTGCTTCTTGAGTCGTTCAGTGCGTCGGTCGGTAGTCTTAGCGTCATCAGGTCAGGGTATTAGAGAAGAAGAGTCCCCGTCATTGAACATTTAAACTGCAACTGCTTCGGAGATGAATACGATCGCTTTTGTTAATTATTATTATTGTGGTGGTTAATTATCTTCTCTTATTATTATTTTTTACTGCTGCAAGAGTTGTTAAAAAAGAACAGAGGAAAATGTTGATGGTTTGCCTTCCAACTGAATCATCTCTCAACTTATGCGCCAGCTTCAGTATCAACATTCATATAGTCAACTGAATCAATACATGAGGCAGGCACCTCGCGTTGCTCTGCAAAGGAATGTTCTGAAGATACTTTTTGGAGTTGCCAAACTGCACAGAGCTCACCGTAATAGGACCACCTTCAAGAACATGTGATACTGGTGAACCTGGTACATGTAGATTTTCGTTGCTAATGAATTTGTCATCTTCAATGCAAGTCTGACTCCTGGTCCTTAACATCCATTTCATGCAAGGATTCATTATTGGATTCAAAATCCTGTTGTAACAGATCTTCTGGAGTCTTCAAAGATGCTTCACAGTTTAATGGGTTGCATCTGCTAGTATCATGTGGCTTTGTCCATTTGAAGTGGGGGAGCAATTTGCACTGTTGTTGCTGTTTCACGGACTCATCACCTCTAACAAGTGGCCTGGGACGAGCTGTTCTCCTGCAGAGTCAAATGGAAATGCAGACAGCACGCTTTTGCATGTGAGATAAGATTATTTGGATAGCTAATTTAGGAAGGTAGAGGCCATACAAGTAAAGCACAAGCGAAAGTAAAAAAACTTTCATACTCACAGGAGTAGCTGCAGCTGCAGGACGCGGAGGTGGAGGTGGAACCAACAGCTCAGCTGGCAGAGAGAAGCCCACACGTTGCCCAAGCCCTTGCAGGCAGACCGGCACGGCGACAGGAACTTCGACTCGGCTCCGACAGGCTCTTCTCTACAAAAATGGAACAAAATACTGTCATTAAAAAAAAATCGGCAGAACCTCCCCTACACAGTGAGGTTTCCAAAACCTACAAAAAACAATGGCACGATGGCCGACAAGCAGTGGCGGATCCAAAGGGGGGGCTGGGGGGCTCCAGCCCCCCCTAATGTCTTGATTTCAAGCCTAATTACTGTAGCAAAAGCTTGATTTCACCATTAAATCTTCATGCAAATCAACATCTCCATTGTTTTAGCCCCCCCTTATCCCGCATCGTGCATCCGCCACTGCCGACAAGCACATGTCTCAAGAGAAGCCATGTAGTTTGGATATCAATCCATGCTGAAGAATATATCCGAGTAGTACCACTACCTCTACTACTACTTCCACTATTGCTACTACTACTACCACTAGTTCTACTACTACTACCACTATTGCTACTACTACTACCACTAGTTCTACCACTACTACCACTAGCACTACTACTACAACTATCACTACCACGACACATGTACAGATGTCCTGGTTTGTAAGCATCGTACATGACAATGTGTATGAAATCTTCTAAAATTTTTATCATAGCCTCCACATACGATATCATGACATCTCAACAAATTTCATGATTTTCGGACTTCGTTTGTTTTTTTATAGAATTTAAAAACACTTCGCACGCAAGTTCGCGGTCATGTTTCGTGAACAAGATGTCCGAAATTTAGGGTCCGTTCCTGGATACGGCCTCACACTACACTCAGTAACATGACTATCATTTTTTGAATCATTAAATTCCATTATTCGTACCACGTGCAGTTCAAATTTATATTTTTGAAAAAAATTCAAGTAAACGAAATAAAGTAACTAAATATATCAAAAAGCCACAAAAAATCCGCAAATTCTAACGATGAGTTTCTGGTACTTTAAAAGGGCTACACAAAAAATTTGGAGGCCAAAAATAAAAAAAAAACTTTACTGAGCGCCGGGGCATGACACTCGGCAAAGGGGGTCTTTGCCGAGTGCCAAGAATAAGGCGCTCGACAAAGAGGATTTTTGAATTTTTTTTAGAAATTTCCTCTTTGGCGAGTGCCTTCACAGGGGCACTCGGCAGAGGTATTTCAAAAAAAAAAGTAATTTTTTAATTCCTCTCTTTGCCGAGTGCCGAATTAGTGGGCACTCGGCAAAGACATTTCAGAAAAAATATTGAATCTTTGCCGAGCGCCGTGTCAGGGGCACTCGGCAAAGTATTTTCCAAAAAAAAATCTTTGACGTGGTCGAACACCGTTACGCGGGGCAGCCTATGTCGAGTGTCGCGCTTTTGCCGAGAGCCTGGCACTCGGCAAAGATGTCCTTTGCCGAATGCCCTTTTTTGCCGAGTGCCCGGCACTCGGCAAAGAACTTTTTGCCGAGTGCAATTCTTTGTCGAGTGCCCGATTTTTGACACTCGGCAAAGCAGTTTGCACTCGGTAAAGGCCATGTTTCCAGTAGTGATTAGCATATAAGCGCCTTGATGAGCATGTACTTCCTCCTCACCAACAACAACATAACCTACATTGTACAAAGAAGCAAGCTGGTAAAATGGTGCTTACAACAGATTCAGATTATTTGTGTCGCAACAATATAAATGTTAAACTATGTATACCTTGTGTCGTGGGTCGTGGCGTGCGGGCCTGTCTGGACCTTTAGCCGAATGCTTGGCGCTTGGTGCCTGTTTAGATAGGCCCAACTTCCTTTCTCTCTCAAAAAAAAAAGAGAAGATAGAGGCCCACTGAACTGACGGCACGCGATTTCGGACAGCAGCCTCGTAGCGAAAACGAAAAATGCTCTGCACACTAGTACTTTTTTTTAGTTTCTAAAAGAAAACTAGTACTTTTTTTATTCCCCTAAAAAAACTAGTACTTTTTAATGCTAAATAAACTAGCACATCTCGTGCACCCTAGTATATATAGTCGGCATCATCATCATCATACTATAAAAGAACGAGTTTTTTTTAAGAGAGTTCTCCCTCTATAATAACCATTGGATTCATACGTCGTGCTATATGAGTCATTCGTCATCCGTGATCTTACATGGAAGATGTAAGACTTCTCCTCAACGAAGATTCCTCCTAGACCTCGAAAAAGGAAAATAATACACGTGAGATGTAAGACTCCAACGCCCATACGAGCCAAATTATCATGTTCGAGGACTCCGACGCAAAAACAAGTCAAAAAGGACTCTGACGCCCTACGAGCGAAAATATTAGTGCAAATGTATTTATACGAGCAAAAAATATTCATGTATCAAAAACAAACCAAAAAGGACTCTGACGCCCTACAAGCGGAAATATTAGTGCAAAATGTATTTATACGAGCAAAACATATTAATGTGTAACATGTTTGGACTCGATGGTTACTCAGTAGGAGTATATGCGTGGCCCTATCATTGAGTCTGAACCCATCTATAAAGATATTATATTTCTATATTTAAAGATATGTCTATGATATACATATGAACCGATATATCGAGAATTCAATTAGTATTCCCATTGCATTTGAATTTTTTTTCATAAACACGTGCGTGTCACACAGGCATATTTGCTAGTATTATACGAGTGTAAAGTATCTTCTTCTAAATCGACACTCGTTAGAGCATAATCTGGACAGCTGCAGGTCACCTGCCTATTATCATGGTCTGTCCACTCTAGCTGAACTAGAGAAGGTCTTCACTCCAAAGGATGCACGCACAAGCACAAATCAAAAAGGACTCTGACGCACTACGAGCGAAAATATTAGAGCAAAATGTATTTATATGAGCAAAAAATATTCATGTTTCAAAAACAAACCAAAAAGGACTCTGACGCCCTACAAGCGAAAATATTAGTGCAAAATGTATTTATATGAGCAAAAAATATTAATGTGTAACATGTTTGGACTCGATGGCCCTATCATTGAGTCTGAACCATCTATAAAGATATTCTATTTCTATATTTAAAGAAATGTCTATGATATACATATGAACCGATATATCGAGAATTCAATTAGTATTTCCATTGCATTTGAATTTTTTTTCATAAACACTCACATGTCACACAGGCATATTTGCTATTATTATACGAGTGTCAAGTATCTTCTTCTAAATCAACACTCGTTAGAGCATAATCTGGACAGCTGCAGGTCACCTGCCTATTATCATGGTCTGTCCACTCTAGCTAAACTAGAGAAGGTCTTCACTCCAAAGGATGCACGCACAAGCACAAATCTTTGTACTGGGCACTTGGCAGAGGTGGTCACATTAAAGTTCCGTCCCTGCCAGGTGGGGTCCTACGCACGATGCTTCCCTTATAATTATCGTTTGCCGTCCGTCCCACGTGAGAGCGAGATCAGAGCCGCGTTGCGTCGTTGCGCTCTGCATCTGCAGTCGCATCGGTTGGAGCCACGGCAGAAAGTACTATATTTATTGATTTGTTGTGAGAGAAAAATATTATTTATTTATTGAAAAGTATGACTTATAAGTCAAATGAACGGGATGATAGTTTGCTTGTAGGATGGCCAACCGTGTCCCTTCAAACGGCAATTTTGTCTGCCTAATTAAACACCTTTGCCTCTTTTACAATGATCGTATGGTCCGTATAATCATGTAACCAGTGGGTGATCAATTGTTTAGTGTTTACACAAACATATGTACGACATCCCCTACCTTAATGTGCGAAGATTGCAACAGTCCCCTTTGGATCTACTCCGTCTCATGCTTGCGACAATTAAGCCGTTGTGACGGATCAAGTCCCGGTGAACTTCACTAAGAACCTTTAGGAGGTACTCTCTCCACTTTAAATTATAATTTTTTTTTGTTTTGTTTTTCTAGACTGGCACGCACGTGTCTAGAAGATATCTATTGTTTTTATTTGCCATTTTCTAGCTTGTTTGCTCTTGTCATCTTATCATATTATTTCCATGTTTTTTTAAAAAACCAACATTTTCATAATTTTGCAATCACGTGTTGGTAATTTTGACATTACACGGATCCCTCTGTTTTAGTTTGGAATCGTGGTGTGGGCTTGGAGGTGGGGGTCAGGGGCTGGACATCATCTCGTTTGCGAACTAAACTGTGCATGTCGACGTGGTTGGATGTTCTAGTTTGGTTTGCATGGTTGTGGGTTTCAGATTGGTAACGTACTATGGAGAAGAGAATTGAGTCATTCCTGTTCGCAGTTTTATTGCGATGGCATCAGTTTGTTATAATCTAATCTAATGGGTTATATTCGTGCATCAGATCTCGAATTAATTTGCTTAGGAAATTTCGAATTGAATGGTCTTCTGCTGTTGTGGCAAGTCGTTACTAGTTTGATTGATCGTGAAGTCTTGGTTTATAAGAAGTAGGGGTCGTGATCGCGCTGCAGTTGACTTTTTCCAATGCCATCTCACTAATTTGTTGTGTTGGTTTGTGTATACTAGCTTAGTTAGATGTTCTCTGTTCTGTAAACCCTTCGTTGCAGTGAATGAATTCCTGGTTGAGTCATTCATGTTCACAGTTTTATCAGCATGCGAATGCGATGGCATCACTTTGTATCTGCTTTGTTATAATCTAATCTAGTAATAGATTTATATTCGTCAATCAGATCTCGAATTAATTTGTTTACAAAAAATCGAATTGCATGGTCTACTGTTGTGAATTAATTTGTTTAGAAACATTCGAATAGCATTGTCTACTGTTGTGGCACGTCGTTACTAGTTTGATTGATGATCGTGAAGTCTTAGTTTAAGTTGTCGTAAATCGGGCTGTAGTTGAATTTTCCAATGGCATTTCTGCCATTGAATTTTCCAATGGCATCTCAAGTAGCTGTTCTCTGTTTTGTAAACCCTTCGTTGCAGTGAATGAATTCCTCATGTTCCCTGGTTCTGATTGACACATAGTATATCTGATCTGATGCTTGAACCGAACCGCAGGCACTGGCACCTGCGGCATCGTCCTGCCGGAGGCGACCAAGGAGAAGGTGGTGGCCGTGAAGGAAGGCGACGCCCTCGCTCTCCCCTTCGGCGTCCTGACATGGTGGCACAACGCCCCCACCGCGTCGTCCGACCTGACCGTCCTGTTCCTCGGCGACACCTCCAAGGGCCGCAAGCCGGGCCAGTTCACAAACTTCCAGCTCACAGGCTCCACTGGCATCTTCACGGGCCTCACCACCGAGTTCGTGTCCCGCGCGTGGACCTGCCGGAGGCCGACGCCGCGAAGCTGGTGTCGAGCCAGCCATTCCTCCGGCGTCGTGAAGACCTCCATCGCGCTGCCGGCGGGCTCGGCCAAGGACCGCGAGGGCATGGCGCTCAACTGCCTGGAGGCGCCGCTGGACGTGGACATCCCCGGCGGGGGCCGCGTGGTGGTGCTCAACACGGCCAACCTGCCGCTGGTGAAGGACGTCGGGCTGGGCGCCGACCTGGTCCGCATCGACGCGCACTCCATGTGCTCCCCGGGCTTCTCGTGCGATTCGGCGTACCAGGTCACCTACATCGTGCGCGGCAGCGGACGGGTCCAGGTGGTCGGGCCCGACGGGAAGCGCGTCCTGGAGACCCGCGCTGAGGGTGGGGTGCTCTTCATCGTGCCTCGGTTCCACGTCGTGTCCAAGATCGCTGATGCGTCCGGGATGGAGTGGTTCTCCATCATCACCACCCCCAAGTAAGTGCATTGTTGCATCGTGTCGCGTCGCATCTTCGATCATTGAGCTGTTGATTGCGTTCGAATTGTACTGGACTGGAAATTGACTGAATGGTTTGTTTGCAAACGACATTGCAGCCCGATCTTCAGCCACCTGGCGGGGAAGACGTCGGTGTGGAAGGCCATCTCGGCGGAGGTGCTGCAGGCGTCGTTCGACACCACGCCGGAGATGGAGCAGCTGTTCCGCTCCAAGAGGCTCGACTCGGAGATCTTCTTCGCGCCTCCCAGCTCCAACTGAAGCAGCCGGAAGCCGGACGCCCACGCCCACGCCTTAGTGTCATCGTCGTCAGGTCATGGTTAATAAAGAGTGTCGTCGTCGTCGGCTTGCTGCTTCTTGAGTCGTTCAGTGCGTCGGTCGGTAGTCTTAGCGTCATCAGGTCAGGGTGTTAGAGAAGAAGAGGTCCCGTCATTGAACATTTAAACTGCAACTGCTTCGGAGATGAATACGATCGCTTTTGTTAATTATTATTATTGTGGTGGTTAATTATCTTCTCTTATTATTATTTTTTACTGCTGCAAGAGTTGTTAAAAAAAGAACAGAGGAAAATGTTGATGGTTTGCCTTCCAACTGAATCATCTCAACTTCTGCGCCAGCTTCAGTATCAACATTCATATAGTCAACTGAATCAATACATGAGGCAGGCACCTCGCGTTGCTCTGCAAAGGAATGTTCTGAAGATACTTTTTGGAGTTGCCAAACTGCACAGAGCTCACCGTAATAGGACCACCTTCAAGAACATGTGATACTGGTGAACCTGGTATATGTAGATTTTCATTGCTAATGAATTTGTCATCTTCAATGCAAGTCTGACTCCTGGTGCTTAACATCCATTTCATGCAAGGATTCATTATTGGATTCACAATCCTGTTGTAACAGATCTTCTGGAGTCTTCAAAGATGCTTCACAGTTTAATGGGTTGCATCTGCTAGTATCATGTGGCTTTGTCCATTTGAAGGGGGGGGGGAGCAATTTGCACTGTTGTTGCTGTTTCACGGACCCATCACCTCTAACAAGTGGCCTGGGACGAGCTGTTCTCCTGCAGAGTCAAATGGAAATGCAGACAGCACGCTTTCGCAGCAATCTGACGAAAGTACTAGTAGTTAAATATATAAGAAAAAAAATGGATTCAATGGAGAAAACATGTAAATTTTAGAATGAGAACAATAGTTTCCCAAAAGGGTGAAGATTAGACAATTATGACAGCATTTAGTTAGTTGTTTGGCTGAAACCATAAGAACCAACAATAAACATAGGGAAAGCATGCAGGTTGAGCTATGTGCTTGTCACATTGTGCATTATCACAGTTGGTTGATAGTTCATACAGCAGGGTTGAGGTTGGTTTGATTCATTTCCCATTGGCTGCATATGTTGTATATCTTTCACTTCCAAAAACAGGCAATATGGATCTTTTTCCAGTCAGCATAGTTCAGTTACATATATTTGGTTGACGATGACAAAACCAAGCACACAATCCTGGCCTGGGAGCAGCATGCAATACAAATGCAAAAGAATAGCCAGAATGTCCATAGATTTGGATTCTCGTGAGGTACAAATATGATGAGGTTTTAATATAAGCGAGCACTGCACCCAACCCCCACATGAAAATGAGACGGGAGACGAGATGATAGGCAGCATCGAAATCATTGGAACAGCAATTACCTGCTATATAACAAGCATATATAAGTGCCTTGATGAGCATGTACTTCCTCCTCACCTACAACACCATAACCTACATTGTACAAAGAAGCAAGCTGGTAAAATGGTGCTTACAACAGATTCAGATTATTTGTGTCGAAACAATATAAATGTTAAACTATGTATACCTTGTGTCGTGGGTCGTGGCGTGCGGGCCTGTTTGTACCTTTAGCCGAATGCTTGGCGCTTGGTGCCTGTTTAGATAGGCCCAACTTCCTGTCTCTCTCCAAAAAAAAAAAAAAAAGAGAAGATAGAGGCCCACTGAACTGACGGCACGCGATTTCGGGCAGCAGCCTAGTAGCGAAAACGAAAAATGCTCTGCACACTAGTACTTTTTTTTAGTTTCTAAAAAAACTAGTACTTTTTTTATTCCCCTCAAAAAAATACTAGTACTTTTTTATGCTAAATAAACTAGCACGTCTCGTGCACACTAGAATATATAGTCGGGGTCATAGTCATCCCACTCTAAAAGAACGAGTTTTTTTTAAGACTGGTTCTCCCTCTATAATAACCATTGGATCCATACGTCGTGCTATATGAGTCATTCGTCATCCGTGATTTTATATGGAAGATGTAAGACTTCTCCTCAACGAAGATTCCTCCTAGACATCGAAAAGGGAAAATAATACACGTGAGATGTAAGACTCCAACGCCCATTAGAGCCAAATTATCATGTTCGAGGACTCCGACGCAAAAACAAGCCAAAAAGGACTCTGATGCCCTACAAGCGAAAATATTAGTGCAAAATGTATTTATACGAGCAAAAAATATTCATGTTTTAAAAACAAACCAAAAAGGACTCTGACACCCTACAAGCGAAAATATTAGTGCAAAATGTATTTATATGAGCAAAAATATTAATGTGAAATATGTTTGAACTCGCCAAAAAATATTGATGTGTAACATGTTTGGACTCGATAGTTACTCAGTAGGAGTATATGCGTGGCCCTATCATTGAGTCTGAACCCATCTATAAAGATATTCTATTTCTATATTTAAAAAAAATGTCTATGATATACATATGAACCGATATATCGAGAATTCAATTAGTATTCCCATTGCATTTGAAATTTTTTCATAAACACGTGCGTGTCGCACAGGCATATTTGCTAGTATTATACAAGTGTCAAGTATCTTCTTCTAAATCAACACTCGTTAGAGCATAATCTGGACAGCTGCAGGTCACCTGCCTATTATCATGGTCTGTCCACTCTACCTAAACCAGAGAAGGTCTTCACTCCAAAGGATGCACGCACAAGCACAAATCTTTGTTTGTACTGGGCACTTGGCAGAGGTGGTCACATTAAAGTTCCGTCCCTGCCAGGTGGGGTCCTACGCGCGCTGCTTCCCTGTCATATAATTATAATTATCGTTTGCCGCCCGTCCCACGTGAGAGCGAGATCAGAGCCGCGTTGCGTCGTTGCGCTCTGCATCTGCAGTTTGCTTGTAGGATGGCCAACCGTGTCCCTTCAAACGGCAATTTAGTCTGCCTAATTAAACACCTTTGCCTCTTTTACAATGATCGTATGGTCCATATAATCATGTAACCAGTGGGTGATCAATTGTTTAGTGTTTACACAAACATATGTACGACATCCCCTACCTTAATGTGCGAAGATTGCATTAGTCCCCTTTGGATCTACTCCGTCTCATGCTTGCGACAATTAAGCCGTTGTGACGGATCCAAGTCCTGGTGAACTTCACTGACAACCTTTAGGAGGTACTATCTCCACTCTAAATTATAATTTTTTTTGTTTTGTTTTTCTAGACTAGTTAACATGCACGTGCGGCACGGACATGTCTAGAAGATATTTATTGTTTTTATTTGTCATTTTCTAGCTTGTTTGCCCTTATGATCTTATCATATTATTTCCATGTTTTTTTTAAAAAACCAACATTTTTTATTTTTGTATTTTTTTTGTTTTTTTTTTGTATTGAATTTTTTTATGTGTTTTAAACTTTTATAATTTATAATTCGTCGCTAATTTTTATATTGTACGTATGTTGGGGCATTAGAGTAGAATTTCATATCGTTCGGGTAAGGTATTATTAGACACACTAATCATGTTTTTTCCTTATTAATGATTTTTTGATTTTGTTTTTTTACCAACTTTGTATTTGTATATATTTTATTTTCTAATTCTAATTGGACCAAAAGCCCATAGACCCCGGTAGCAGCGAGCAAGTGGCAAGCGTCCATATGTTTCTGTCAGCATCTAATTTTTCTACAGCGGCGCATCCCGATTCACTGTCTTCTTCATTTCTCTCCTCCTCTTCTCCATTTCTGCCCGTACTCCACCCTGCTGTGCATAGCACCACTGCCAAGGCTGGTCACGCGTCCCAGTTCTTGTCGCCGGTGAAGAAGGTGAGCCGGCCAGAGCTCCTTTGCCGGGTCTAGCCGCGTCGCCCATATGGCTGGCTGCCGTAGCTAGTGAATCTGCCTACAGTTGTTGGGGCGAGTGGCTACGCCGGTCCGCCGCCGCGTCGTGGTCCGGCTGTGTTGAGGGCGGTGGATCCGCCAAAGAGACGCCGGGCAGTCTGAGCCGGTCTGTCACCATGCCGCTTGCTAGCCGCAGACAGAGGCCACTGTTGTCAGGCAAAGTTGCCGTTCTTGGCTCTTGAAAGATTCTTGTGTGATTTTGATAATTGAGTGACAACTTAGGTGTACTAATTATGTTTACATGAGATACACAGGTGATTAGTCCACAGGTACATGTGTGTGAGCAACATATGCCATGGAGGTGGAAATGGCTCGGAGATGTTGCAAAGCTCACACATGTGATGATGAAGGAGCTCATTACACATGAGACATGACATTGAGTCATGTGATTAAGGTGGAGAAAATCAAGACATGACTTAGCTTGATGGACCGGTTGCAAGCGTGAAGGTCAAGTCAGAGGCTTTGGAGCGATGGACCGCGTGGCGGTGAAGCTTGAGCAAGACTTGGCGCCGATAGACGAAGGCAACGGTGAAAAGCAAATGAAGTCAAGATCGATGAACCAATATAGTCACGTGATGATATGAAGTGGATCATATCATTTGGTGATTGGTTGGTGCATGTGTTGCATCAACAATGGAGGAGATGGAATGGAATGCGCAAGGTAAAGGTATAACCTAGGACGTTTCATTTCACCGGTCATAGGTGTGTAGAGAAGTTGATAACTGGGTTTAGGATAGATGGCCGTACTATCAAGAGGGACAAACTTGTTTGCATATCGGTCATCTAGTGCCACTCGAGTGATCTAACTTTGCATCGTCGCTAGGATCAAGTGGCGTGGCAAGTTGAGTGGCTAACCCTTGAAAATGTTTATGAAAATATGCTAACACACATGCACAAAGGTGATACGCATTGTGTTTAGCACATGGGAGCAAGAGTTCAAAACTTCACCGGCGGAGTGCGGACAGTCGGTGCCACCAGCGCCCTGTACAGAAAATACAGGGTTTCACAGAGTGCACCGGACGCTGTCCTCGTGGGACTGGACGCGTCCGGTGGCTAAACCTAGGCGTCGGTCTTCGATCGGACGCTGGGTCACTTCATGACC